CTTTTTCCTCAGAAGCAAGCACTTCACCCATTACCTTGATCAAGAAGTCAGCTGCAGTTTCACCTTCACATGCACTGAGCACTGGCATGAGCTCAAACTACTACAGCTTCTAGCTGTAATCTGAGCCAACCATACAGCAACATTTTTCTGTGTAAAGACCAGTTCAGAACACCCACAGGTCTTAAGAGCCTACTTGGGCTGCAATTCCTAAAGTTATATGGTCACTTGATTATGAAAACATCAAATCGTCTACAAAAATGCAGAGACATCCAGCAGCTTCAGCTACAACTAAAAGCTTATAGTTACACCATCTAGAAGGCCTGCTCCAAGCAGAGTACCATGGCACTAGTACACAGGCTAGATTCACATTCCTATTTTTGAAGTTGCTGTTCAGCACAGTTTGTTCAGACACTTCAGATGCTCCAGAGAAGCTGAGAGGCAGAGTTGATCTGAGTATTGAACAGTAAGATTGTGATAAATTACTTCAAAGCTATAAGTGCTTGAAGGATTTACATCAACTCCAATAACTTCTGATCACATTCTCTGCTGTCTTTGGCAAAAGCTATCAGGGACAAACCTGAAAGATAAGAGATCGGGGTGAGGACAGAAGTTTTAGTAAGGCTTCTGATAGCTAAAGTTAGCAACACATTCTTCCTGCATATTTAAATTACTCTCTACAGTTCCACGCTGTCCAGTGTCTTGAAATGCAACAATCCACGCTTGAGGCCTACCACAGATGCTGCAGACACTGCAGTCAGAACCAATTACAGCTTGGAGCACAAGTTGTAAATTAGTGCCCTGGCATTGTTAACTTAGGGACTCTAATTTCAAGAATTGAGTTCTCATAAGCATTGTGTACCATGAGAACAAACTGCTTCTACATCTTCTTCTGTAGTTCTGAGCATAGTGAGGTAGGAGAGCAAAATGCTCACTCACCTACTGTTCCATCAAATAAACATGAAGTCTTCATTTAAAAACCTATTCCAAAGCCACTTTGAAAACAAATTATTTCTTACTCATCTGTCATTTCATAGTACATTTCATGGACACAATGGGATCTGCCCTCCTCCTCGGGTCTCACTGCTGGGATCTGCCCTCCTCCACAGGACACACTGCTTCCATGAGAAAAAACTAAACACAGTTACTTCAGATACAACACAAAGGGCACACAAACATTCTGAGAACAAGAAGTTCTAAAGGTATGAATCAATATTTCAAAACATCCCTTAATTTTTATTCACTGGTAATGTAACAACTTCTTACAGTTGAAGGCTGCTGACTATAGTGCTAGGCAGCAAGTGCACCTAGAAGTTATCTTTATTCAGAAGAGCCATGCCCCCACATACAATAACCCCAATTAGCATGGTATTATGCCTTGGGAACATGTAGTTAACACCCTATTTTGTAAGTGACATTAAGGTCTCCAAAGCCTTAAAAATCAATTGTTACAAGAACACACTGCAGAAACTTATTCATGAGTTGACTATATGTATTCACAAGCTGAACAAAAATTGTTTCTTGATTTTCAGTCCCTGAGTGCTTATTTCACAGGTCCAAATTTCTATAGCAACATTCCCATTAAGCACCAGGAAATGCTAGATTAGACCTACTTACATTGCAGCATGATTTCAATTATGATTCCAGGAAGCCTATTTAAAAAGCTCCTGTCTCTCAAATAAGTGATCTTTCAGACTGTGACCAAACAGCAGTTAAGCTTGTAAGGAAAGAATTACAAGGTTTTTTCATTATTGTCATGAACACTGATTACAGCATCCTTTCAGTAGGAAACCTGAACACCAATATGGAAGTTTCAGAACAAAATGAGCAAAGTTGAATATAACCTTTATGCAATGCAAAGAGACATACGAAAAGGCTCTGGGACCTTGGCTTAGTAGTAAAATAGGTCTTTCACCTATAAAGATCTTTATCAGGCAATCAACTAGTCTTGTCCACTTCAACTTAAGAAGGGTGTATAAAGATGCAGCAATACAGGTAACAAAAACCAGTGAGTCATTTTATTGATCACTCACCACTTCTGGCAGGGCTACAGGTACATCACTGCCACAGGCCATTAACCAGAAATCCTTGACTACCAGAGGCAGCATGCTCCTCAGAGGGAACTATGCAGTTCTACCTCACACTACAAGGTATGAGGCACCTATGGAACATGTTAGCAAAGAATCTACCTCATGCAGTATGTCTGCTGCAAAAGTCATAAACCCGTACAAGCTCTTCTACAGAGATATGAAGTCAGTAGTGAAGTAACAGCCTTAATCTGCTTGCAGCTTATTAATTGCTATATAGATCAGACTTGCAGCTTTATTTTCTGGTCAAGCTAGTTCAAGTCCAGAGCTAGGTTTTCTGCAAGAAATTCAAGTCCCAGAATTTCTATTGATGGCACACTGGACTCTTGTCCAAATGAGAGAGTTCTACTACAGCTTAACCCCTCTCCTGGAACTGCTGTGTTCTGTCACCAGCCATGCCAACATGTGCCCAATAATCCAGCTAAGGCATCTGACCCAGTATCAGGTTTCATAAAGGATGAAGTAGTGAAGTACGCAGTCCCTTCTGTCCCCTTGAAACACGTTTTTCCTAACAGCTGAGCTACAGCTTCTACCCTTCTGTTACAGGCAGAGGGGAAGTGCTTGACCAGACAGGCAAAGCTCAGCCTTATGAAAGCAAAGTCTCTGCTTATCCCTGTTACAAAAAATAAAGCATCTCAACAAGTGATAAGGCCAAGAATGCTGCTGAACCCAGAGCTTGTTTCAACTAGAAAGAAGCTTGGTACACACAAACATGAACATGTAGCTTAGATAAGGTATTATGAATACAGTTTCTTTTACTTGACCTCAGTATTTTCCAAGTAAGCAGGATATAATCTTACTGACATGCAGCAACAAACTCAGAGCTATCTGTGTTTATGGATATATCCAAGCTATAAGGCTAGCAAAACAAAGAAGGTATCAATGTTTCAGCTAGACATTAACCCTGGCATATTGAACAAGAGGCCTAGCAAGTAAAATGGGTAACCTACCAAAACTAGTCCTTTCCATTAGCAAGACAAGTTCATTCCTTTACTCAAAGAAACCAAACCAGATAAAGTTCCAGGTAAGAACTAGGGTGAGCCATTTTCTTGCATCATTAATCACAAATTTTACAGAATCCCTGTTTTGCAATCAATTAGCTGGGTCTACTACCCTGTAGTCATAGGCAGCAAACCAAACAGAGGTAGAAGGGTAAACAAGACTACAGCAGTGAAGTCAAGCTAACCTGAAGCTGCGTCAAAGTTAGAGACTTTAATGCCTTGCTGTACAGGCATGTAGGGCTTGGCTTACTTTCAGCCTTAAGGAAAAAAATTACACACACTGGTTTGATTGATTTCACTCATTTAAAAGGCTTAGAGGTAAAATTAGGAGTTTTGACTCATAATTTAAACCAGACATCAACATGATCAGAAGATGCACACCTACAGGCAGAGATAGCATGCTATGATTACTGCTTAACTCCACTGCCACTGGTCAGGAAACAAAGCTGTCCACCAATAGCATCACTGTTGTCACCAGTAATCTGACAAAGGAGATTTGCTACTGGGCAGTGTACAATGATGACACAGTGGACAGCAAGCCTATGACATCAACATAATAAATGCTATTAAAAAGCTGCTCAGTGACTCCAGAGGGCTCTTAGTTCTGCATCAGTGCCTGCTCTAATGCAATCACTGTACCTTCCTCTGAATACCATTAGCAATAGTCTGCTGAGTCATAGAGCCTGTGGGGACACTATAAGCTGCAGGGCCTGCAACTGCAAACCGCACTCAGCCTGCTGTAGCCACTCCAATCTCAAAACCCAGCAGTGCAGCACTGTTAGCTCACATAAAAAACACCTGGCAATACCATTTGAGCCTCAGTGAAACAAGGTAAGCTGTATCTGAAGTACATCCTATCTCTGTCTAACATAATGCATTAGAAGTCTTCACAATTCTTCCATACAAATACAGCAGGTTCCCATATTTCTAACTCTCTCACACCAGAGCTGTCACAGGCAATCTATATGGAATGTTCAGCAACACATCTGCAAGCACCTGGTCATTGCAAAAAAAAAAAAAAAAAAAAATCAGACATAGGCAGTATGAACTTCAGAAAGTTCTGTATTAGTATTTTAGGAGAGGTTAAGAACAGGACATGTAAGAAAATATTCCAGTGCTAGCATTCAGAACAGCTAACATTTCTATATTCTTCATCTGGCAGAGGTTATTAGTTTCAGACCAGATCTTTCATCAGTGTGGGTGTTGACGTTTATCTGAGCATTTATCTTTTTTTGCCCTAAAGCACTTGGTATATACACTCTCTTCAGTGAGAACAAGCCCTAAAAATTAGAAGCTCAGAACAAGGACACAGAAGCTTTAAGCCAGTGGTTATTTCAAGACCCAGCTCTCAAATTAAACTAGAATTAATTATGACAGCACCTCACCATATTAAACACACAGATGCACACGTAACAGCATTCAATACACATTACTTCCATCTGAGGGAAAAGGTAAAGCATTGCTACCAGAGCAAGCTAGACATCTGCTTTAGAAAATTAATCCTTGAGAAAACCACAGCATGATTAAGAGGGTTTTTTTCAGCTGCCAGTACTGAATGGTACATGATTTGTGCTGAGCTCTTCACTGTTCTTACTTGGTTGAAATGATTCTCTTAAGTACAGAAGCTTAAATATTGCCTGGATTCACATGAAGATCTGATTACTATAAAAGTTTATTTTGTTTAAATGTTATTAAAAAGTCACATTTAAAAGTGAAAAATGTTTAATAAGGGCTCAGACTTGTTACTAAGATAGCTACAATACCCTTTGGAATTATCTCTTTCACACAAAAGAGAATATTCATTATTGATCTTCAATGCAGTGAATCTATATAGAGCTGGCACAGCAAAAAGGCTGCTGCTGCATGTAATTTAATAATGAGACTGCGAAGCAAACAATGGAAAAAATAAACTGACCTGATGTTTAGTATGCTGAAATTTTGACCCTTCCTGCTCTTCATGCTGCACCGAGTTGGCTCTCTCCCTCACACTTCTATACCCAGGACTGGGTATAATGTACTCTTTTCCTATGTCGATGTCTTTCATCTTCCGTAAACGCCAGGGTTTACACGTGTATTTTCACCTCGAATATCTGGGGGAAAAATATATAATATAGCAAATTAAATTCCACTTCATTATGTGCTATGTCAGACACATTGATTACTTTTAGTAAGTTTTAAAGTTTATTTTTAAAAATAAAAATCAGAAAGCAATTGTAAAAGAATTTCATTATGACAGGACTGTAATAGCATCACTTTGGAAATCCACAGAAGACTAACTTCTCCTGAAGCAGTTTAAACATACCCTGAAGCAACCAAATAAGTACAACAATTCTCAATGCACTAGAGTACTGTCATACTCCCTCCTTCAGAACTCTGAAATACAATTATGCAATCCAATATATTTAAAGTAGCAACTACAGTATTTACTTAAAACTTTAAGAAACTTGACTTAGAAGATGAACTCACCAAAATCTTTTGTTAGTGTCTAAAGCTGCACATACCCAACAACTTACGAGTACAAAGTTTTTTGTAAAACTGATTTTTTTTGAGACATCACATGATAAAATTGAGCATTAGAGAAAGTTATATGCCTTCTCTTTAGCATTAGTCAGTTACTACACAGGCTTTAGCTATCATTAAGTACTAACATGCACAGGAAGGAGTCACATCCTCAGTGCTGCAGGTTTTCCCTCAACCTATCAAGTTACACTCTAAGGTCAGAATGAGAACCAGAGTCCCGAAAAGAAAAACACTTCCCACTGCAAGACTTTGTTTCCTAGCTCTGCGTTCTTGCAGTGTATCACTTGCCTTAAACCAAGACGACGGAAAAAGCCTGATTCAGTTACATTAGTCAGAACCTGCATCAGCAGGCTTGGCTTGGCGCTCTGGGCTGCCACCTCTTCGCAGAAGGGGCAGGAAGAGCCTCCTTCCCCCATCCACTGACGAAAGTCGCCTATAGGGCAGCCCTCGCCGCCCGCCGCCCCACACGGCTCTCCCACCCCCAGTGCCCTGCGTGTCAGCGCCAGGCGAGGATGCTGCAGAGCTGCAGGTCCCAGGGCTGCTGCGGCCTCCTGGCCCTCCATC